CCATTTTTTATACTGGATAAAAGCAGAAATATCTCATTTCCTTATCAAAGCCTGTTTAAATGTACTTACTGATTTTACCATCCCTGTTTTGGAAACAAAAGCACAAATTGATGTTTGGCAAAGTTTCTTTATGACAGATCATATTGTTCATATCACAAAGCATTAGTTCAGAACTCAGATGCATAAACATTTTATTTGCAAGCACACCAGTAGAAATATTGCTTTGTAAACACTTCCATTTCTGATTGTAAATTGCTAAGTTTACATATGAAATTCATTTAGACTGGAAATCATCCCATTTTACAAATTAGCACAATCTATTACATTTGTCTCAAAGAGAAATTAAACCTTAAAGAGCAACATTCAAGATAATCTGAAACAGGGTGTTTTAGCAATTCCATATGTAATTGGATGTATGTTTTCTGTATTTCTTTTCCAGGCATGGCTGATTACTAAATAAAAATACTTTCTTCTATATAACCACCTTGGATCATTTGGTGTTGCCACATGTAGATTTTACCCCCATCTCTTCACCACAATTTCCATGTCAGAATATTTGAGTGTTAGATACATTGGTTTTGAAAGGAAGTGAAAGGAGGATTATGAAGGAGAAAAATTGCACTAACACCCAAATATCTTGATGATCAGCAGTGACTGAAATGTGCCAGGTATGCATAAAAGATATACTAGGTATGCATAAAACATAAAAACCAAAATCAGATTGCCCTTTTTATGAATAAAGTTGTCAAATCAAAGTACTATCCATCTTAGGTACTTCTATATCTCCCTTCATGGTAATATCTGAGCACCTCACGATCTTATTTGTAGCTATCCTTACAACACCCCTGTGTGATAGGGAAGTGCTGTTATCCCCATTTTACAGATGGGGAACTAAGGCCCAGAGAGATTAAGTGACTGACCCGGGATCACACAAGTTGTTTATGGTTAAACAGTAACTCACACCCCAGGTTAGTGCTCTAACCTCTGGACCATTTTTCCTGCATACACATTCATTATATTACAAGAGTTGCTCTGTTGAATCTCACTGCAGAATACCATCAAAACTAGATAGACCAAAAATACTATCTAGATTAGAGATCTAATTAGAGATCCTGAGGTGCAAAGTCTGGCTCTAGATTGAGAGGAGGGAGCTGGTAGGTCAAATACTGGGCTTGGGTTCAGTCCATTACTGAAAATGGCAGCTGGTTACAGAATTGGGATCTGGATTCAAACTTTTCCTAGCTTTCCATGTTATTTGGATGTGCGGTTTTAAGCTCAGGCCCATCTCTAGTCTGAATTTACCAGAATTCAGAGCGTAGCCTCATTACAGTGTTTGCCATACTTTCTCTTTGAAGCGCAAATGGTCACATAAAAGTTATTGAGTGCAAAGGCTAGAAACAGAATAATTATGTAAATGCCCTGAGATATCATTGTCTGCCAGATGCTGGTGTCTTTAGCGTCTCACATTATCTCGTATGGAATCGGTCTCTTCTGTTTACTTTTCAAAAGAAAGCCAACAAGAGTGAAAATAACAGCTGCAAGCACCACAGCTGTAACAATAAATGGAGCCTGGGAATGACCAGCAGTAGTGGTAAGTGAACCACGGGAATCCACATTTTCCTGATGTTCAGAATAGTCCAGCTCTGTGAGTTAAGAAAGAGAGTTTATTACATTTTGTTCTCTGTTCTAGTTATTGCCAAAGATACCAGGACAAAGAGAACTTGAATTTAAAAAGTTACATTCTAGATCAGGTCAAGAAATAAATCAATTTCACTCTATTTTATACAAGACATTCTAGACACATCAATCCATCTTTATATTAGTAAAGACTATTTCATGAACTGAACCCCCAGCAGGGATGTTTTAGGTTCAATATTAAGAAAACATCATAACTAGCACAAGAGCTAGGGAATGGAATCAGTTTTCAAGGAAGGTTGAGGTTTCTCTTTACTGCAGATATTCAAGGTGAGACATGACAACCACAGTTCTTGAACAGTTTGCAGATAATGAAATCAATGAAGCGATAAGAAGAAGATGGACTGCATCTCATCTTTCTTCCTGAAGAATTGATTCAATTAGCATTTTTGGGATGTGCAGATTAAAATGATGGATTTGAAATGTGCTAAATAAGGAACTAATGTAGATCCTATTAGTCAATAAACAAGTCCCTCGTGTTTTTAATGGAGCTGATGATAACCCAGTAAAAGCATGCTGCAGTGCTAGAAATCAGAAGTAAACTGACATGCAAAGATTTTATGCAATGAAATGAAAAGTGATTTACAGAACCTTATACTAAATACAAGAGAAGGTTATTTGCATTTACCAGCATTCCTGTTCTCAGTGCCTTCTTTCCAAAGCTCAATTGGCCCAACAACAACATCCACTTTTTCTTGGTAAGAGCTTGTATCTCGCTTGGACCTGGGTATGCAGCCCTGGTAGCATCGGGAAGAATAATCATATACCCGGCACACCACCATTTTAAACTTCAGGTATACTGATGAATATTGGTTAACAAACTTGAAGGCATTAAATTTGAAGCGTATGGTGGAGCTGTAGGGTGAATAGTATGTACCGTAGGTAAGATCTCTAGCACATCTAAAATAAACAAACAAATAAATACAATTAATCTTCATGTGTATGCACAAAAATAAATCACTGACATCAAGCATTTCCTATATGCAAAGATTTAAAAACATTAACACCGCATTAACAACGGAAAGGGACAAAAATATGTATTTGTAGTAAGAAAAGAAAATGAAAGAGGTTAAAATAGTGGCAGTGACTTGCAGAGGAGTCACCTAAAGGTGTCATGGCAATTAATCTATGGAAAGGGCCCAGAGCTGCTTATTTAGATCTCCAGGTTGTCATGCATATGAGCCCGATAGAGCAGCTGATGCAAAGGGTGTTAAATGTTACTGTTAAGGGGGAAGAGATAGTTCAGTGGTTTGAGCATTAGCCTGCTAAACCCAGGGTTGTGAGTTCAATCCTTGAGAGGGCCACTTAGGGATCAGGGGCAAAAATTAGTACTTGGTCCTGCTAATGAAGGCAAGGAGCTGGACTCAATGACCTTTCAGGGTCCCTTCCAGTTCTATGAGATAGGTATATATCCATATATTTTATTATTATAAAGGGGAAATGTAACCACGATTTAAGCTCTTAAGTGAGGCTGGCCAGAAAACAGCAATTCCATTTCACACACAATTTTGAAATTTGTTTTTGTTCCAATGCAGAAGGAAAATGAGAAACCAAATGTGAGAGAGAGCCAACCCAGACTAGCCAAGGCTGTTACCCAGGAGATGGGAGGGTCAAGTCCCTGCTCTGCAGAGTCCCCCCAGCAGAGCAGGGACTTGACCCTTTGTCTCCTACAGCCCAGGCAAGCACCCTAACCAGCTGGGGCCTAGGTCTCTCTCTTAGTCTCACCTGAGAAACCCTTCTCAATGTCATTTCTGTCAGAACTGATACATCTCCATGAAACTCTTCAGCTTCGATGAACAGCTGAGGGGGGAGGGGTTGTTTGTTTGTTTAAACAGGAAAAATTGTAGTCACAATTTTTTCTACCAGCTCTACTCTGAAGGGCAGGCTCTGTCTCTTTACTAAATGGCTATACAGCTCCTTTCACAATGGGGCCCTGATGTCTGATTGGGTTCTAGGTGCTACTAGATATGAACAATAATGATGATAAATTCCTTCTTCCGTTCTGTGCCATATTATCCAACTCACTCCCACTCCTCTGATTTCTGCTTTGGATGCAAGAAGCAAGAAAGTGAACGTTTCCAATGAACCCAATCTCTAGTAAGTCAGCTGCACAAGTGCTTCATAGAACAAAATTCTAGTAAGCTTCACTTTCCTGTCAGCATTGACTCATGCCAAAGTTCCATGCCAGTGCATTCTGATTCAATTTAACCACCATGAAAAGGAACTCAATTTATCTGTTAACACACTGCTGTTATCTCAAAATAAGGTGCAGAGTTGTCATATGGTCAACGCATTGCATACAAATATTAATGATCTCACTCACATAATAAAGATCTCAAGGTATTGAACTACTTTTATAATAATCTCTGTTTATACTGTACAATATGTTTTTCTGTTATATTCATGCCAATATTTGTGTCACCTATAGAAAGTTAAGACATGGTTGAAATTAGGTATGGTAAATTTATTTCCTGTTGGGTTTTAATTTAAATAAATATTATTAGATTTAAAGTATTTGACTTTCTCTGTATTGAATGATTTTATCATATCATTTCTTAAAAGGGCTGGTCTGAATATTTAATTTTTATATTATAAAATAGATAAGGAGTTTTTAAACTATCATGCAGGTGGCTTCCTTAAAACTTAACTCTTGTATATCCTGCTACTCTTCTACTACCTGGATGAATTATTTTGAAATTTAATTATTTATTCCCCATTATTTATATACCATTAGAATTTCACCAGTAAGTGAATGAATCAGACATTTATTGACAATGGGACCTGCTCCTGAAAAATTTGCCCTTTCATACCCAGAAAGATGTAGAATCTAGTGATAATGGAGAAGTCTACTGAAATGCTGGCAGGTAAAGCATAGGAAATACCATAATGGATGAGACCAGTGCCTTTTTTTCTTGCCAGATCTAAGAATCTAATTTGTTTTGTATAATTCGTTTATCTAACTTTTCCACAAGAAATGGTTTAAGCCAAGCCACATGAACAATTCTAGGCCATTTGAGTGACATATAGGAAAGCAGGAATATCAAACATTAAACTTCTGTCATTTGAATCAAGGACTGAATTAGTCATTTGAAAGAACATTTCCAGTATAGTACAAAAAACAAGAACAGAACAAGAATGAATAATT